AGGAAACTTTTTTTATAGTTTGTTGAATCTAGTGTCAAAGTGTAAAATTACTTCTTAGCATCATTGCACAGTGTATTTTCTCCCATTTTAAAAAATCTTGATTCTGATAGATAAAATAAATGAGAACATAATAAAGAATAGATATGAATAGAAAAGAAATGTGTTTCATTTTCTTAGTAACAAGAAAATATTGAGTTTGCCCAAAGTTCTAAGATTTGAAAAACTAAAGTGAAAAGTTAAGCAAATATGGAACCTAGTAATCCCAATGGATGAGTATTAATGAAGGTGCTGGGTTAGTTTTTGTAATTATTATTTTGTTAAATTTTATTCGTTTCATGAAACACTGGGGATTTTAACTTCAGTACCTAAAAATCTGAGGAGAGATCAATCTCAAATTGTTTATAATTTAAGGAATTCAAGTCTAAGATAAGCATATTTCTATCATTAATAGATCCTCCGTGTTTAATTTGTTTAACTATTTACTTAGTCCTAGCCTTGTTCTAGAGAGGATATAAGGTGACTTCTTTGAACTAAACCCAATATATTGTCTTAATGGTTACCAGAAGTATTTCTGTGTTTCATAAAAATGTCAATACACAAAAATCACCCACACCCCACAAAACCTACAGAAAGAAGAGATGTTAAATTCATGACATTCAAGGTCAGAAAGTTCTAGTTAATGAACCATGAAATATCACAAAAAGCTTTTATTTTATAAAATCTACAAAAAGCTGCTCTAGGATTCAGTATTTCTTTGCTATATTACTAGTCAAAAGAAATCTCCACACAGAACTATATAGTCTTGGGCTGAGGATTTTAGTGGTGCCACTGCCTGCCTCATAAGTGCAAGGTCCCAAGTTCGATCCCTGGTACCAACAAACAAATAAACAAGCAAGAACTATACAGTCTTTCTGAACTTCAAAATGAGAAATTTTGACTCAGAGGCAAAAATTTGACATTTTGGTTGCCCTGTTTTCCTTGGATATTTCCCAGTCTAGCATTAAGTGGGTAATCCAGTTTGGGAAATCTAAAAGATTATAGCCCAAGGGATGCAGAGACAGAAAATAGCAAAAGCATATCAAAGCTACTTTCAAAGATTACAACCCAAAAATCACTGTAGCAGTGTAGCTTTGAATGGTTACAAATAAAATGAGGTCTGAATCAAAGTCTCTAAATTAGTGACTCATCCTTGTTTAGTTCACCATAGTTGTTCACTACAGCTGGGAGAGAACTCTTCTAGTTATACTGCTTAAAAGTACTGTGTTCACTTGATATCCGAAAAGAAGTAACACTATACATATAGAACTTCTGACTCCATCTTAAGCGAGGGAAATGTGCATCATTTAAAAAGTGAAGTGGCCTAGTGCTTCTGAACAAAAATAACAATTCCATATCCTTGGGTGCTATCTTAGAGCACAGTACCCGAGAAGATTATGCCCATTTCTGCCAGGTAAAGAAAATACTAAGTCATAAATAATTTAAGGAAAGAGCATAAAGACTACATAAACGCATTTATAAATAACACATACCAAGGAAATACTTAAATTAAAAAAAAAAAAAAGATGTCTCCTTCCAAAAATGTGTTTTTTTGTCTACTTGTGCTTAGAGACAAAATTCTAATGAGAAATACAAGTTTAAAAGAAAGGGCCCATCTGTAGAGACCCATACCCAGTTTAAAATGCTGTAAGGCCACCTCAGCAACTCTACATCTGCAAGGGGTCCGGTGCTAAAGAAGAGCCGCAGTTACTACACTCGCTTCTGTGCCTCCACAGCACCGGGACGTGGCTGCACCCTCTGACCACAGTCAGGAGCATATTTCAAAGAGCAAATCAGTATCTTCCACAGGCCTTCGAGTTTTGCTATCTTTTCCCAAATAAACACAGCAACGGACGGGAGCCACTTTCATGGGCTGCACATCTCCCAGCGGAAAACTGCGAGAGGAGACCGTGGACTATGGAGGCCACCCTCCTCGGAGGTCGGCTACTCTTTGCAGAGACAGACAGGCTGCAGAGTGCCTGGACCACCTCGCTGCTCCAAGAACTACCTTTAATTTCCCCTTAGGGCCAGGGATTTAGCTCAGCGGCGCCGCCTGCCTTGCAAGCACAAGGTCCCAAGCTTGATTCCCAGGACCCCCCCAAAAGGTGGGGATTTTACGTTTCAACTATGGCAGAATAAAATGATGACATCTCCTAAAGACATTATGCTCCAAAATACCAATGATGGCTTATAAAGAAGATTTTAATAAGTGTAATTTATCCCAACTCACTATACACAAAAACTTTAATAAGTTTTTATTTTGAGCATTTAAAACTTCTATATTACTAGTGGCCTGATTTATTTCAAGGTTCACAGAAACTCTTTCATTAAAAAAAAAAATCCTTAATAAGCTCTGTTTAAATCCATAATGTGATGATTCACAAACCACGTTAAAACGATGAACTGTTTCTGAATGATCAAAGAAAATTCCAGTTGTAATCCATCTCATTTTGGTATTGGATTTTATATTCTACTTAATTTTTAAGCTAGTGACAAATGTACAATTTGCATATACACATTTTTGACAAATTATAAAAGTACATCACCTATAACATCTCAATTTGTTTTGTTTTTGCTTGTTGGTCTGTTTTACACGAGACAGTCTAGCTAAATTGCGAAAGCAGGGCTTGAACTCGTGGTCCTCCCGCTTCAGGCTCCAGTGTGCTGGGACTACAGACATGAGCCTCTCCACGCCCAGCTTTATCTCAGTTTCTTGATACAGTCCTCAAAAAAAGTTTTATTTTCAAGAAAACTTCAAAACAGCAAAAACGTAGAGGTATCCAACTTAGCTATTTGTTTGCCATATTATATGAAAACAGGAAAATTAAAAGATGCTATATTAATATTAAACGTAACCAAGCTTTGAACAAATATTAAAAATTGGATTCTGATATTAAATAACTACAGAAAGGTTATTTACCCAGCTTTACCCCAAGTAAAGAACACTTTGAGGCAAACAATTCCTTCTCTACATGTTCAGAATTGCTTTTCAACAATAACCGCTTTATTAATTTCAATCAAGCTGTCGTTCAAATGCTAAGAATATAGCCTTTGTGTCGCCTGACTTACAACACTTACCAACTCTTTTCCTTTTTTTTTTTTTTTTTTTTTTTTTCCCTTTTTTTGGAAATTACTTAAGGGTTTTAC